AAATTAGAATCTTTGACTTGATGAGGAGGGATAGGTTGCAGACTCACGTTTCCAGAAAAAGGTGTCTTTTATTGAATCCAGTCGGTGTGGGATGTTCCAGTGATTGTCTAGTTGATGGAGGGCGGACAGGGTTTACCCAGACAGCGGTTGTTCCTTGGTGAACGGAGAAACTGACTGCCACTTAGATTTCCTGCGGTACTTGAACGGGCCATTGTGGAGATGAATCCCCTGCTCAGAGAGAAGCCCAAGACAATCCTGGGGAGAAAGGTTGATCCAAACCACAAACTTGAATCCTCAGCTCAGTTTGGTTCTCAGAAGATCCTTCCAGGGGGGAGAAGGTCCCAAACATCCAGTTTGCAGGATGACTTCCTGCCGAGAGGCAAAAACAAAAAACAGCGAGGTTAAAACTCAGGTAGACAAAAACTCAGTTTGACTCAGCAAACTCAGCCTGGCTAGAGGACCCAAAACTGGCAAACACTCTGGCCTCGAGGTAGTGGCAGTCAGCAGCTTAAGAACACTCTGCAGGTAATGAGGCAACGAGCTGCAGGTGTGCAGGGAGGCCCAATGAGGACGGGGCACCACCTGGTGGAGGAGGAAAGGAAACACAAAAACAGACCACACACTGGATTCCTGACAGCAACAATCTTTCAGTCTAATTTGCTGATTAGTCTGCAAATAGTTACAACTCTTTAACATTTAACCCTTAGTTTCCCTCATTCAAATTGCAAAACTACAAAACCTCTTCTGCTTCTATGTCGTTGTTTGGTCCACTCTATAAAGCCTTAAACTCAACACTAACTCCCACATTTTGAATTAAAAGAGCTTCCTGGATGTGAAGCAAAAGGTCTTCAAACCTGGAAGCAAAGTCCAGTGGATTGATTTCTAACTTTTTTGGTGATGTTCTTTTCTCTACTTCATTAATTCGTTCCTGGAACCCTGGATGCTTTAATTAACCAGCCAGACCTTAAACGTCTCTGAAACCTTATCTCAGACCTTTCTATGTTCATGATGTTTGGACATAACATTTAAACTGAGAAACAATACTGACTCCTTCACCAGAGTTTNTGAGATGAGTCCAGTGCTGCTCTGACACTGTCAAACCGGAACTGGAAAGTGAGGGGAAGACACTGCGGTTAGTTCAGGCTCAGTGGGAAATTAGAATCTTTGACTTGATGAGGAGGGATAGCTTGCAGACTCACGTTTCCAGAAAAAGGTGTCTTTTATTGAATCCAGTCTGTATGGGATGTTCCAGTGATTGTCTAGTTGATGGAGGGCGGACAGGGTTTACCCAGACCGCGGTTGTTCCTTGGTGAACGGAGAAACTGACTGCCACTTAGATTTCCTGCGGTACTTGAACGGGTCATTGTGGAGATGAATCCCCTGTTCAGAGAGAAGCCCAAGACAATCCTGGGGGGAAATGGTTGATCCAAACCACAAACCTGAATCCTCAGCTCAGTTTGGTTCTCAGAAGATCCTTCCAGGGGGGAGAAGGTCCCAAACATCCAGTTTGCAGGATGACTTCCTGCCAAGGGGCAAAAACAAAAAACAGCGAGGTTAAAACTCAGGTAAACAAAAACTCCGTTTGACTCAGCAAACTCAGCCTGGCTAGAGGACCCAAAACTGGCAAACACTCTGGAGTCGAGGTAGTGGCAGTCAGCAGCTTAACAGCGCTCCGCAGGTAATGAGGCAACGAGCTGCAGGTGTGCAGGAAGGCCCAATGAGGACGGGGCACCACCTGGTAGAGGAGGAAAGGAAACACAAAAACAGACCACAAACTGGATTCCTGAAAGCAACAACCTTTCAGTCTAATTTGCTGATTAGTCTGCAAATAGTTACAACTCTTTAACATTTAACCCTTAGTTTCCCTCATCCAAGCTGCAAAACTACAAAACCTCTTCTGCTTCTATGTCGTTGTTTGGTCCACTCTATAAAGCCTTGAACTCAACACTAACTCCCACATTTTGAATTAAAAGAGCTTCCTGGACGCGAAGCAAAAGGTCTTCAAACCTGGAAACAAAGTCCAGTGGATTGATTTCTAACTTTTTTGGTGATGTTCTTTTCTCTAATTCATTAATTCATTCCTGGAACCCTGGATGCTTTAATTAACCAGCCAGACCTTAAACGTCTCTGAAACCTTATCTCAGACCTTTCTATGTTCATGATGTTTGGACATAACATTTAAACTGAGAAACAATACTGACTCCTTCACCAGAGTTTAAAGTTTAATTTTGGACTAAACTGACCTAGAGAGAGAAAAAGGAAGAGCTTCATGGTAATGAGATGCAGAGCCAGCAGGTAGTTGGTCTGAAAGCCCAGAGGGCCCACTTTCCCAGGCTGCAGGGAGCAAAGGTCTTTCCACATCCTGTTTGCACGATGGAGCCTTCATGGTGCTGACTCTGAGGAGGAGCATGGAGAGATTCCCCAGACAGGCCCTGTGTTTTCCTCCGTAAGATGAACTCATTAGTATGTGAGGTGATCAGCTGCTCCAGAATCCACCGGATCCTTCTGATCGCCCCATTTTAGCCTCATTCTGGAAACAGCAACACGTCTGTTAGTGTGAAGAAAGAACTGAGCTGAAAGCTTTAGACTCAGGATCCACCAGACCAGAGGACCTCTGACCCCTGATTCATCATCTACCATTAATGGGTTCCAGCTAATCCTGGACACGGGACTGGGATTAAGGGATTAAAAACTGGTCTTTTCAGGGTTAAGGTGTCAGGAAATTAGCTTTCTTTTTAAGTGGACGTTCTGTCAATGATGAACCAGTTTGGTTCTGTTTTATTCTATAATTCATTTCCTCCAAAACTGTGAGATGCTGCAAATATGGAAGAGTTGGTGCTGAGAGCAAAACGAAACTTTCTGGACTACAGAACACCCCTAACATGGTGGTGGCAGCATCATGCTGAGGGGGCAGGGTTGGTGTAGAAATGGGCGGAGCTAAGGGGAACCTGCAGTGGTCCTCAAACAGCCACACAGACCCACAATGCAAAGCTTATCCATGTGTTGGAACGGCCTAGTCAAAGTCCAGACCTAAATCTGAGGTAGAACCAGTTGGAAGATTATAAAATCACAGAGTCTCAGAGTCCAGTCTAAGTGAGGAAGGACAAAGACCTCCAGAATCAGAACCAGGCGTAGTACCATAAACCGTCCCGCATCAGAAAGGTCTGCAGGATTACCAGCCTGACGACCTTCCCCCAGGAATCAGGCGAACCTGTAGAACCGGAACCAGAACCGGAACCAGAACCAGAACCAGAACCAGAACCAGAACCAGAACCAGAACCA